CGGCCGGCGGGCGCCGGTGCCGGCGCCTCCCTCTGACCGCCGTCGGGGAGCGGGCGCCCGTGCGCGTCTTTGTTCCCTGCGCCGTTCATTCAGCGCCTTTTCAGGGTTTCCTGGGGGGTGTTGGTGAGGCTTCTTGGTGTCAGTCGCTCGCCCGTTAGAGTAGTGACAGGGCGACCTGGGGGGACGGCAGAAAGTCGGGGGGCCACAGCGCCCCTCCGAAGGCAAGGCTGGAATGGGAGGATAAAAGGCAGCTCCACAGGGGACCGGCCGCGCCCTCTCCCCACGCGCCCCCCCGCCAGTGCCAGCAAGGGGCGGCTGGGAGGTCGGTGACCCCGGCGGCAGGAACCCTGGACTTTAAGGCTCTCTTTTCCGCTCATTTCTTTTTTAATCCGGTGACTTTGGGTTACAGTGTTGCAGTTTGGAAGCACCGGATCCCCCTGTTCCCGTGATGCTGCCACTGCGCTCCCCCCCCACAGGTTCTTGTTAGTGCTGAGGTGCGTGTCCGTTACCTGCAAGTGTCGTGACGTGCCATGTAGACAAGCGAATAGCTTTCCTGGGCAGAAGTCAGGAACCCCCAGCACCCCTGGGCTGCACCAGCACTGTGACAGGCGGGTGCACAGGCGCGGACCCGCCGGAGCCTACACCGGGCCGGGTCACACCCCGCATGGGTGTAACCAGTGCCCTTCTGCGAACTGGCGACTTCCTGCTTGGGGGTCACCGCTTCTCCATCCACACCCACCCCGTGCAAGCTCTCCGAGCCCTTGGCCCCGGCCACAACACTTTTCTGTGGCCTCTGCTCCCTGTCAGCCAGGTAGACACAGGGCTGCTCTCTGTCTTGCGGATGCTGACTGACTGTGTCTCACCTCTGTGGGAAGGAGGAAAGGACTCTGTGTCAATAGCAAGAACTTATTTGAAACCCTCTCTGGCTGCGGACCACTGCTTCCGCCGAACTCTGCGGCCCTTAACTGTGGGACTGAGGGTGTAGAGTCAGGTATGAGAGGCCTGAAGCCAGCTTGGGGCAGAGTGGAGGCCGTTTCTGCACAGACCCCTCCTGGGAAGCTGGAGCTCTGGATTCTTGCTGGCAAGGGCAGCCAGGACACTGGCAAGAAGAATCTCACGATCTGAACTGGCCGAGGGTCTTGTGAGTTTATCTTGCAAAGACTGGCCTGTAGAAGGTCTGGAAGATTCTCAGAGTGCGCCACCCTTCCTCCCTACAACAGCGGCTACTTCGGCCCCTCCCTCTAGGTCCACGTAGCCCCTCACAGCCCTCATGCTTCCTGGTGTCCAGAGTGGAAATCAGCCTCTGCGCTGGGTCCCAGCCCCTTTTTGGATTCATTCACTCACCTGCCCAAACACTGGAATGTTTTAGTCCCTTTCTGTTGGAGTCTTAGTTTGGCAGTCTGTCCCTGATTTCATACCCTCCCTTCTTTTAATTACCCTTTTGCTAATTATTTTTTTCCCAGCGTGTTTGACCCAGTGGGTTCCTCTGGAATCCCTTTTCCCTTAGCACTGGAAAGGGGAGGAAAAGAGTGTCTGTGAGGGCGAGGCAGAAATAATGTGAGGAGGGGGTGAGGGCCTCAGGGTCAGGCCTGCAGAAGAGCAAAGAGCCAAGCAAGGATGTACGCGCGCGTGTGCACACGTATTCATGTGTACAACAACGTGCACACACACGGCACACACACACGCACGACCATGTGTGCGTGCATTCATGTGTACAACAATGTGCACACAAATAGCACACAAGTGTGTGCATTCGTACACGCGGACATGTGCGCACGTGCATGTATGTACTGCACGCGTGCGTGTACACATGTTCACACGCACAACAACGGGCACGCGCATTGCACGCACGTGTGTGCATTCGTGCGTGCGGACATGCATGCACACACGTGTGCACGCGCACCGCACCCGCGTGTGTGCATTCGTGCGCGCGGACATGCATGCGCACACACGTGTGCACGCGCATTGCACACGCGTGTGTACATTAGTGCATGCGGACATGCATGCGCACATGTGGGCACGCATGTGCATATGACCGCGTGCATGCACATGCATGTGCGCAAGTGACTGTGCGTGCGTACACATGTGCGGACACACATGTACAGGTATGCGCGCGTGTATGGCTGTGTGTGCACGGTGGGCGCACATGTGCGTGGGTGCGTGCACGCGTGTGTGCAGTGGTGGCGGAGACACCCCTCCCTTCAGCCCTCCTGCCTCCCTTGCGCACACACCTCCTTCACACCACAATCACTCATGTTTCTCACACGATCTGATTCCACGCCTTGCACACTCTTCTGCCCAGCCCCGCGTCATGCACACTCTTCAGTCTTTGTGCAAAAATGTGTATTGCTGGGTCCATCTCTTCCTCCGCTCCCTCACAGCCCGGACCACTCGCCTGGCCTTTCCGTGCACACTCCCATTTTGCACAAGCCTCTCCCGCCCGCCCTGCCGCACCTGTGCCTGGGACCCCGCACCTCCACCCCCAGCCGCCCCCAGCTCCATCCACACCCCTGCTCCCAGCCCGGAGCGCTCGCCCCTTCCGTGGCCACTCCCCTCCCTCCGCCCTCCCCGGCTGGCACACTCGCCCCCGCCTCTGGGGACACCTGCTCGTGCGGGGCAGGGCGGGG